TGTAAATTACTAATTATTTATCTATAGATCATATCTTCTGGGGCGAGGTCATGAGATGAACTTTCGGACGAATAATAATAAAGAAAAAAGATGGCACTTTCTCGCATTGAATTTATCTACAGCCAATCATCAGTGAAATCATGTTATAAGTCACTACTCAATCAACATCATTACAAAAACTAATTAAGGTTTTAAGTTGAGATAAAAAAAATCATTACAAAATTTCATTACAGTGAAGAAATGGCGCATTTTAGTCCGAAACTAATGGTCATAATCAGAGAGGTTCGACAATTTAAAACATTTAGAAGATAACATAAAAAATACAAATTTTTTTCGAGTGTTCGCAATAGCGGGGTCATATCAACCCTAGGGGTGTGGGTATTTTGAAATTTTGGTCGGGTTCGAATGGATGAACGCAGGATTCGAACCTGGGACTTTTTCCTTAAGTGGTGAGCTCAGTGTCAACGCCTAAACCGTTTTGGTCAACGACGCCCCAGTAAAAAATTCAAAATGTTTGATTAACCGAAACGTTCTATCAAGTACAAATACATTTTTAATTTTCAGGGTTAAAGCAGACGTTAAAAAATTAATTAGTTTTCGATTCAGCATTCGAAAGCAATTTTCCCCTCTCGCGAACCGGATTGGGAACAGGTTAAGAAAACCGCAGTTGCGGTTGAAGCAGTGGCGGACCGCAGACCGCAAACCATGTTGCTCATGTCATTATTACAAGGTACGTCCGTCATGAAACAACCGTGCCAAATCTTCTTCTCAAGTGTCGTTACTTCTTGTTCTGTCTTTTCTACCCTATATGCACAAAACACTAAGAAAATAAAGAAAATATTGATATGAAACTTCTGTTTATTAACAAAAATTTGCACGATTTTTCAAAACTTCAGAAAGAAAAAACTGAATTTAAATATTAACGGACTACAAACCCTACAATTGAAAAATCCCCGGACAAAATTCAACGCTCCCTAATATGCCTCAAATCATCAAATTATCCCTACTTAAAATTCTTATTCCTTTCCGAAATTATCCTATGTCATTACGAATATTTCTGCTTGTCCGATCACCCCTTAATCCACGAATATATCCATAACAATACCCACTGATCCTCGTGAGAGAGCGTCCGATGACCACTTGACAACTTGCTTAACTCTGCTTCCCATGTGGGTAACCATTGATTGATTTTCATAAGCTCAATTTTACACATAAATATTGTATAAACATAATTAAACTTATCACTTCTCACTGCAACCCGCTAGAATCAACTACTTCGTTGGTTTTGGGTCAGACATTGGTATTATCCGTTACTCCGCCGAAGTTAGGCTCAAAAGGGTGTCATCAGCTAGATAATTTCATTCACCAACGTGGGCAGCTGTTTTTAGTCTAAAGCGGCCCATAGACGATCAATATTATTGCACAATATTTTGGGTTGTGCAATTTAATTGATCCTGTGTAGACGATATTGAAAGTTTGTGCAATACATTGCATGATTGACGAAAAGTTGAAAATATATTGTACAACCTGGAAAATATTGCACCGTCTGTTGGCATTATTGAGCAATATCAGTCAGTTTGTGAAGTATCAACAAGTGGTACAGTTCGCATGCTCGTGGTTGCACAAAAAATTGCACAAACTTCAATATCGCCTTCAAACAAAATTTTGTACAATATTATTGAACGTTAATGGTCAACCGTCAAATTATTGTGCAATCTATATTGTACAATAATATTGACCGTATATTGGCCGCTTAAAACAGACCCGAGACGTCAAATATCAATGTCAATATATTGCACAATAATTGCTATATATTGTGCAATAATATTGACCGTCTGTAGATAATATTGAATGATTGCGCTATATATTGAATCAATCAACAAGGGTTTTTATAGCGCAATATGGTAAATGCTTCGCCTGTGGTCCATATTGCGCATTATTGGCTCATTTCTGTATTCATAGCCGTGCAGAAAATATAGAATCATCAAAGATGGCTACAATAAAAAAAAAGTTTTATAATGTATTGAGGTGAATCAGTGTTTACAGCTTTGTGGAATGTCAAATCCTAAATTGTACAAAATATACAATAAAATACAATAAAAACATTATCATCGTAAATACAGAGAAAAGGAAATTTGAAATTGAAATTAAAATCACATTACAAAAAACTGAAAATAAAATCACTCAACACGATTTGTCTGTTTTAAAATATTAATCTAAATAAAAATAACGTTACCATTACTGTTTATGTTTACAAAACATTCTTCCAAATGTCTGAGAAATAAATTAACCATTTTTATGTAATTTTTCTTAATAAAATCAAATTTTATTAAATGACAAGTGGAAAGTGCAGGAATAACTCTTATCTCGAAAAGGCACAATAAATTTTTAAACATGTTTATATAATTATTTAGGCTTATTTTTATCTTTCATTAAGGCTGACGGAAGAATAAAGTAAAATAAGTCGATCACGTGACATCACCGGAGGGTCTAACGACATAAATGGTGCCGTTCTCCAGATGGTACAACCATTTTCGTGACGTGGCGAAGCCTAATAGTATTAATTGTGTTTTAATTGTTCCATTAGCTGCAAATGCAAATGTCTGTATTGTTTCAACGTAGAAGTGAATTTCAAATTTTACGGCAGAGTTCAAAGACATTTTTTCCAAAAAACAGTAATAAATAGTCTAATGTCATCTAAAATATAACAACATGGTTCGTTAGAAAGACGATCTTTTTTGGAAAATATTTAGAATTTTTTACACATATTTAAATAACAGTGCTATTTTATACCTTCTTCAAAATTTAATTTTTTTGAAGTTTGCAAAATATTAATTGAAGGGAAGAAAAAAGAAAGCATGTAGGAATGCGGCCCGATATGAAAAATTGTGCATGAGCACCGAAGCGAGATCTCCTTGTTCCGATTTTTAGAGTAAAGATGTCTGTTTTACTTTATATAATACTTTATAGATAATCTTATGATTCTTCCTTCTTGAAGGTGGGATAATAGGTCATCTCAAAAAACTACAACCAGTTTTTATCCACAACGTTTCGGATTTATTTGAATCCTTCCTCAGGTGAGTTAACGCCTGTACACAGAACAAATATTTTTTACATTTTTATGTAAAACTGGTTCGGGAAATTTTAAAAAAGAATGGGTATCCGAGAAAAATGGTAATTAAATTTATAAACAATAACAATCTATGGAAGATAAACCCAAATGAAAACTCGGAAAACCTAGAAGATGAAAATGATTCTGGAATTTCCTATGTCACTTTCCCTTACATCCAAGGGTTATCGGAACAGTTGAAAAGTTGTCTGAAAGTTCCCTCTAGTTAAGTTGGCCTTCCGAAACAGTAATGCGGTCAAAAAATACTACTCACCGCTAAAAGATAAAATTGAGAAAGGACTACAATCAGGCCTGGTATACAAGGTTGGGTGGAGGGACTGCTGGAAGGTGTACTATGGTGAAACCAAACAATACCTAAAGAATAGAATTTATGAACATAAATACACAGTCCAAACTAATAAAAACAATGAAACTGCCTTGGCACAACATGCAGTTGTTGAAGGTCATACTTTTTTATTTAATGATGTCAATATTGTTACAAAGGAACGAAATAGTAAAAAACGAAGGTTCCTAGAGGCCCTTTACATAAAAAAAGATAAACTGTCTGTTAATTACCGTCAAGACTGTGATATGATAAGTGATTGCTATTTTAATTTGTTAAACAATATATAAAAATATTCTAGTCAATTTTAAAATCTGTGATAGTTGTGATAATAATTTTTAAAATATTGTTAATAAAATAAATAAAATTTGTTGTTGAAAAATAGATTTATAAGAAAAATGCAATTTTAACTGTTGAGTGGTATTTTTAATGTTGATTCGTTGGTCTGTGATAAGATGTTGATAAGAGGTCGAACGTCACATGAGAGGTTGTGATAAGAGTCTAGTCAGGTTCAAAATATTAAAACGTTTGTTTCTAGTCTGAATAAGTACCACACTGGCTCTTTTTTTAAAATAAATTGTTATAAAATATTAATGACTGACGACCACTTTTTTAACCATTGTAAGTAATGAAGAAACAATGATAACCATGTTGACATAAAAATGTAAAAAAAATTTGTTCTGTGTACAGGCGTTAACTCACCTGAGGAAGGATTCAAATAAATCCGAAACGTTGTGGATAAAAACTGATTGTGGTTTTTTGAGATGACCTATTATCCCACCTTCAAGAAGGAAGAATCATAAGATTAACTGTTGAGGTCAAAATATAAGAAAACACCGTTACTTTATAGATACATCGTGTTTTGTTTCTTATGTGGATGTTAAGACTAAATGTATTTATTAGCGTGAATGTTTAGTGTGAATGGTCTAATGGCGACATGCTGAGTACTCCATTACACTCAATTACGTTTACATTGTTGTTACAGTCCTTGGCAACGTTGGGGCTTAGTCGGTCTTCAAGGAAATTTGATATCGCCTGTTAATTTAAATATGTCAATCTGTAGACATATTTATGGTTGATTTGCCCTGATGACCTTAAAGTAGGTCGAATGCTTGGCAGTAACAGGGCCTACGGCAGAATATTGACTACCTCAAAGATCGACAATTAGTTTAGTTATATAATAGGTGTAAAGGGTGATGGAGGAATATCGAGTACTCCACCACCAAAATTGCGTTTGGTTGTAAATTGACTTAGTAGCAAGTGAATGTATTTAAGAATGAATGAGTGTGAATGCTGATGAATTAACGGAGCTGTTTTCAGCACCCTGAGCCCAACCTCGATGGCTGGAGGTATGGCCCCGGTCTGGCAACACCCGAGGTGGCTGATTCTCGAGGCCTCTCGATAATTTATTGTAAATGAAGCGAAAGCTAGAAGACGCGCGAGTTGTGAAATGATAGCATCAACTCTGCACAGTGACTATGTTTGTACATAAATGTGCGGATTTGAGCTTAATTAATTAAAATAATATGCAAGTATTAATACACTTACCCAATATTTGTCCTAAAACTGTCCTGCCATCCTCCCCCAGACAAGCACCCCTTGCGTCGAAAGGGTTTGTAAACTGCACAAAAGCGTAACCTTTGTGCATAGATATTCCTGGAACAGATTTAAAAATTGATTATTTATATTAATTAACCTGGCTTATTACTCCCTTTTTATTATTTTTTTAATTTACGTTTTTAACAACTACATCTTACAACTATCTTCAAGGTAACATGTAATAATGAGCAAGGTACATAAGGAATATACAAAATTAAAAACAAGAGTGGAGAAAATACTCATTGGTATTACTCCAATCATACAAAACCATTGTCTGTTTAATTGTTATTTGTGTCATTATCTCTTTCACTATCATCACCATCACTTCCTAGAAGATCTCAAGGCCAATGTCCCTTCAGTTGGCGAGGAGGGTTCAAGGGGATTCGTCGGGATGCTAGGTTTCTAATGGGCTGATAGATTGGTAGTTGGGAGGGTTTTGTGAAATGCGCGGTAACGGGAACGGATTTCTTCTTGAACGAAAGGGATATCGTTTGCATGTGTAGTTAGGTTAGTAGGAATATCTAGTATTTTTCGTAGGACTAAGGACCGGGCAGTTTGAATGCGGCGGATGTTGGAATGTTCGGCTGAACCCCTCTTCCAATCCGTAAGTCCATATCGGCTTAACTACGGTGAAGTAAAGCAGTCTTTTATTTTTGCCAGGTAAATTAGAACGTTTATCAAGATGTCGTGCAAGAGCTCTGTATCATGCCATAACCATCTGACATTTCAGTGTGTGAGGATTCCAGGTCAGGAGTTCGTCGATGTAGTTATTACATTTTTTCCTTCTTCTCGGGAAAAAAATTAATAAAGCTTAAATAGTGGCGGAATGAACTGAGAAGAGAAGTGCGAGCATGAAGCAATTCACGGCCTGCAAGATCCTGATCGGGATGGCACTGGGTCCAAGATTGGAAAAAAAGAAGCAAGGAGAGTGAGTTCGTTATAGACGTTCCGAGGAAGAGGTGGTCTCCGCGAGGAAAGAAAATATTTTTTAAAAAAGTATATGGCTTGTGATCCTAGTCGTGCTGATCGGAGAATTCCTACGAAGAAAAGGGGCTGATCCCGGCAAGTGAAGAGTGATCCCGTGAGTTGGTTCATTTCCAATTTCTTATCAAGTCTGATAATTCCGGACTAGAGACATTAGTTATAAATTTCGGCCTTTTGTTAGCTTTTAATTTAAAAAAAATTGTCTATGTACTTGTAAATAGAATAGTTGTGATTAGTATTTATTTATTTTAAATCGTAGTTTTAAACCCTAAGTAAGCTTAAGATATCTTTCTTGTGTTAACGAATTAACTCGGATAGAAGAGGAAGAACTTCATCATTTAGCTCCATAACCCCGGGTGGAAGCGCCATCAGAAAGAAGATAGCCAAAAGCGCTACATCGGTCGTCTGGGGCCTGACACGGCAACCCTATCTGTCCTTCCTTTTCCCTTTCCTTTTATTGTTCTATTCTTTTCCTTTTTTCCCCTAGTTTTGGTATTTATCCTTCTCCAAAATTACCGTGGTGCTCAACATAACACCTGTAAATAAACTTTCACCTCCTCACCGATCATCACTTGTCTCTCCGTTCAACACGTCCCCCCCCCCTTCTCCACTGAGCTACCGCCAACGTACGTGCAGCCACAGTATGGAAGCTATAACACAGTCCGAGGTATCGCACCTTGTCCGCAGTTAGGTGGTAAATATTATTTAAGAAAACAGGTTGGGAAACCTTTTATGGAGCGTGTAGGTAATGCGGGTGGATTTGTGTGTGTTAAATTTTGACACGTAAACCACGCAACTACCTAGGGTACGAATGGGTACTATGCGTCTCTAATAGACTCTAATACTCAACTCCGACTTTCCACCTTTTTGAAGCTTATGCAGTTGTTGCAAACTGGGCAGTTTGAATGCGGCTTAATTTCCAGTCCGTAAATCCATATCGGCTTAACTATGGTGTTGTACAGCAACCTTTTATTTTTGAGAGGTTAATTAGAAAGTTTGTCACTATGTCCTGCAAGAGCTCTGTAATGTGTCATAACTGCTTGACGCTTCAGTTTGTGAGGATTCGAGGTCAGGAGTTTGTCGATGTACAGTCCGAGGTACCGCAACTTCTCCGCAGTTAGGTGGGAAATATTATTTAAGAAAACAGATTTGGAGATCTTTTATGGAGCGTGTAGTTAATGCTGGTGGATTTGTCTGTGTTAAATTTTGACACGTTAACCACGCAACTACCTAGGGTACGAATGGGTAATATCTCTAATAGACTCTAATACTCAACTCCGACTTTCCACCATCTTGAAGCTTATGCAGTTGTTGAAAACTGGGCAGTTTAAATGCGGCGGATGTTGGAATGATCGTCTGAACCCCACACTTCCAGTCCGTAAATCCATATCGGCTTAACTATGGTGTTGTACAGCAGCCTTTTATTTTTGAGAGGTAAATTAGAACGTTTGTCACTATGTCCTGCAAGAGCTCTGTAATGTGTCATGACTGCTTGACGTTTCAGTGTGTGAGGATTCGAGGTCAGGAGTTTGTCGATGTACAGTCCGACGTACCGCAACTTCTCCGCAGTTAGGTGGGAAATATTATTTAAGAAAACAGATTTGGAGATCTTTTATGGAGCGTGTAGTTAATGCTGGTGGATTTGTCTGTGTTAAATTTTGACACGTTAACCACGCAACTACCTAGGGTACGAATGGGTAATATCTCTAATAGACTCTAATACTCAACTCCGACTTTCCACCATCTTGAAGCTTATGCAGTTGTTGCAAACTGGGCAGTTTGAATGCGGCTTAATTTCCAGTCCGTAAATCCATATCGGCTTAACTACGGTGTTGTACAGCAACCTTTTATTTTTGAGAGGTTAATTAGAACGTTTGTCACTATTTCGTGCAAGAGCTCTGTAATGTGTCATAACTGCTTGACGTTTCAGTGTGTGAAGATTCCAGGTCAGGAGTTCGTCGATGTACAGTCCGAGGTACCGCAAGTTGTCCGCACTTTGGAGGGAAATATTTAAGAAAACAGGTTGGGAGATCTTTTATGGAGTGTAGTGAATGCTATCTATGTTAATTTTTCACACGTTAACCACGCAACCACCTAGGGTACCAATGGGTACTTTGCGTCTCTAATAGGCTCTAATACTCAACTACGACTTTCCACCTTCTTGATGCTTATGCAGTTATTTTTGTTGCGGTTATTTTGAATGCGACGGATGTTGGAATGTTCGTCTGAGCCTCACACTTCCAGTCTGTAAGTCCATATCGGCTTAACTAAGGTGTTGTACAGCAACCTTTTATTTTTGAGAGATTAATTAGAACGTTTGTCACTATTTCGTGCAAGAGCTCTGTAATGTGTCATAACTGCTTGACGTTTCAGTGTGTGAAGATTCGAGGTCAGGAGTTCGTCGATGTATAGTCCGAGGCGTGAAGTTAATGCTGGTGGATTTGTCTGTGTTAAATTTTGACACGTTAACCACGCAACTACCTAGGGTACGAATGGGTAATATACGTCTCTAATAGACTCTAATACTCAACTCCGACTTTCCACCTGCTTGAAGCTTATGAAGAACCGTCTGACGTATCAGTGTGTCAAGGTCGGGNAAACTTCAATCAAAATTCTTAATCATGATTGAATTAGTTAGATTTTGCCCAACTCTGGGGGAAGATGTTTTTACGGAAAGTGAAGGTAAAGTGGATGGATTTTTTTGTTAAATTTTGTACTTTTCTTTTTACACCAAGACTCTAGTAGTGTGAGGTGTTGTTGGATGTTTCGATGGAAATGACAAGGTGATTCCTAAATAATGATTAATAATATTGCAGGGATAATAGTCACATGTTAAAAACTTTGTTCACATTCTTTCTTGAACTTTTGCATTCTATAAACACTTTAATTATTTCGTATTAACAGTAACCAAAAAAAAAAAAAAAGTTTCTAACTTTCATAATTGAATTATGTGTCCTTTACATTTACTTGCAGGTTTTTAAGTCATAGCACTACATTGAGAAAAAAGCATAAAGCCTAGATCTTTTTAAAAAGATAGTTCCTACTAGTAAATTGTCGTTTTTATTGTTTTTATCTCTACTAAAAACCTTAATTAATTGTAAAATATTAATTGGTCAAGCGGACCACGAAATTAGTGAATTTAATGATTGAAAATGAAGTATTCTTCACTAAAGCTCTCCGTGGCCATTTCATTTGTCGTCGAGAATCACGATAGCTCAAGTGGTAGAGCAGCGGCGTATCTAGCCGAAGGTCGTGGGTTCGAATCCCGCTCGTGACACTGACTTTTTTATCTCGACTAAAAACCTTAATTAATTGTAAAATATTAATTGGTCAAGCGGACCACGAAATTAGTGAAACTAGTAAACTGTTTTCAACGATCCGGATTTTGAGCCTATAGTTCATCATCAGGTTAAAGGAGCTCTACAACCTGATGATGAGTTGTAGGCTCGAAATCCGGCCATTGAAAACAACTTTATGGAGTAAAAACTATATTTTTAAAAAGATTGAACAACACACTCAACCATTTATCATTTCTATTGAAGCCTAGATTTTTATTTGGTTTTTGATGTAGGCTACTCTATCTCCTCGGGCCACTGCAAAGCAAGAAAGCGTTCAACAGGGAAAGACTAAGAGCCATTGAAAGATCGTGGGACGAAATATGGTAAGTGTTCAAGTTCAATTCTCTCACTTTAAAAAAAAAACTTCCCTGTTACTGTAATGGGCACTATGAAGGACTCAATATTTTTTTAAACTAAAAAATCCGTTAAATTAGTTAACGGAATCTTAACTTTGAATAGACGGTAGAACGGATTTGTATTACCGGGATGAATATACAGGGTGAATTGCTACTCGTGCTACAAACTTCTCCAGTAGATTCTTCACCCTAAAATGAATAAAAAAGTTCATATTGTCCATGGTCCGATTCTCAACCATTTCAGAGTAATTTCGCTTTTTATCGATTTTGAAAGATATCACGTCCTGGCGTCGGAAAATCGTGATATCTTTTAATCTAAACATTTCTCTGAAAATCTAATAGCACCGTTGAAATTCCCGTTAATTTTTCAATAAGAAGA